ATCCACAACATTAACGCAAATGAAGTGAAATATCCAGCTGTTGCCCCCTTAGCAGAAAAGAAAAGGTGTGTTTGAACTACAAGACAACATAATGTGGTCGTATTGCCAGAGAATGCAGGGTGTTTAACGCTGCAATCATATATATTAAAGCCATATCAAACCACAAATGAGAACCATGAAAACGAGTACTTCGTAGCATGTGTGTAGTGAGTTCATGAGTGAGTGAGTTAAGATTTATAGTCAAATCGGCAATATCTCAGCCACATTGTGACTTAAAACTTATAAATTAACAATAAATGCAATGATATTATAAAATCTGTCCACAAAGGACAATAAAATGACAAGATTATCAAAGTTAGAAAAATTAAGCTTATACAAACAGTACAGATAGTACTAAATAAGAACGGGCTGAGATCACCAGCAACTGTAGGAGTGAGTTAGTGCATAGAAGTACAGAAAGTATCCTGGATAGACATTAACTTGGTTTTGAAGGGACCCTTTAGAAGACATGTGGCAAGAATTTCAATGCAGATGAAACTGTGTTCTGTCGTTATCAAGTAACAAAAACCAACCAATTCCATCAGCATAACTGCTACTTTGGTATTTGTTAACTATTCAGTTGTAGACTTTCTCCAATATTGCATCATCACAAATACACAGATCAAATCAAACAAAGACTGCATGTTCACGGAAAGACCGGTCATTTGAATATACTAAATGCCCAGAGGGGGAGTCTGCGTGGGATAATATCCCAAACACCATCTGTTGTACCTTGCATGACGCCGTCTAAGTGAAAGTGGATGACCGAAGCATTCGTTTTAGCAGAGATCAAACGAGCAAACGCCCATACAAACCATGACATCAGCTCAGAGGAGGATAGGGCAAGTCACTACGATAGGTGCTGTTTGTGCCAGTCAAGTAGCCCGATTATAAGGTTAGTTGACATCATTCACTGTTTTCGTATTTGTATGTTATAATACCAGTCCATTTGACGATAACAGGAACATACACCTAGCTGCTTTCTGCTTTGTTGTTTCAGACTGTAGAAATTTTGCAAAAAGCCATTTCCAGAAGAATGGCCAAAATGATGGTATGGTCTGGTAACGCCCACTGATATAGAACAAATCTGAAGTCAAACACCCATGTAGCCCCTTCCCAAGTAATGTCTTGACGTCTCACGCTCAGAGCCTAAGCAGCATTTGCGAGTGGAGTGAAGCCAGATGGATACCCGATGGAGTTTTGATAAATTCATGCGATCCTTACATTATTCTGAAAATGTATATCTAAAGTCCTGTACATAGCTGTTTCTCCAATTTGCGCAGGGGAAGAACATTCCAAAGAACAAACAGTCCGAACAACGGGCCATCCGCATGATGCTTTGTAGCGTGTAGCACATCTGGAAGTGAGCAAATCTTTTATCAACATGGTTCAGTAAAAGTTAGAGAGAACTATGCTATACACTTCACGACTGATTTAAATGATTGCGTAAGCAGTGCTGACCTGAAACAACATCATTGTTGACGTTTTAATGGCTCCACGAACATCCTTGTAATAGGTTTGTTCGAGTTGCATTCCAGTTGGTGGTATAGAGATGGCAAAATTTATGGATTATCAACTTCTTTATTTACATAATAACGACGTTTCGGTATAGATTCTTATACCGTTTTCAAGCAAATATAGAAGTTGATCATCCAGTACTGGTGAAGAAGACCAGGTTTCACTGCAGTATGGTATCTTGGAGTACTAGCACTATAAACAAGCATCCACTCACACACGTGCATGCACGGCCCTGATATTATGTGAGTAGAATCATCCTGAAACACGAGGTAAACATTTCACCTACTCTCCCCTTTGTAGACTTTCATTCTGTTTCCTCACCTGAAGAATGTTTTCCTGAAGGATGAAAACCACGTATGCAACAGCTAGGCTGAGTGCTCCACACAGCAGTACTGTAAGAACAATATCACATCTATTTTGTCAACAGTCTATATGCGCAGGAGTTTTATGTCATGGCTTCATAGATGCTACCACCCTTACCAAGTAACTCTGGAGACAATGGTGGCGGAAGTCCGTGATTGTTAGTGCAGCAGAAAACCCGGATGTAATCTTCGAGAATGACAGCAGCTAGCGCGTTGAGACCTGACGATAGGGTGCTGGAAGTATGAGAAGATAGTTCCTCGTCGTTTCTCATGACATTACTGCTGATATATCGACTATATGATAATATCTTACTATTGAACCCTCAATATTTATAGATTTGTTCATTTCCGATCATAAGATTTCATTGTACGCCCAACTGAATCTCTTTCGGCCGGTAACCAATACTGAGGGCTCTCTGTCCCATTTTGACGCAAGACTACCCGGTAGAATACCCTTTTCAGGGTAATGCGAGTTGTTTTGCCGGAAATGATTCTACCCGATACCAAATTTTACGTGATGACATCAACCTTAATATGTCCTAATACCTTGATGTCCTTACATGAACACCAGATTATGTAACCGTAATACAGTGACGATACATCTTTGCATGGATTACTGAAGATCAGTGACGGCACGGGGAGTAGCCTTTGGGTTAAGAGTTCGCTCACGCTGAAATGAGTAGTGAGTTAAAAGTCTCATCGGCAATATTTCAGCCATACCGTGACTAAAATTAGTTCTAAATTAATATAATATATAAAACCCCGTCAACGAAGGACAGTAAAGTTACTAGATTATCACTAAAAAGGAGTTAAAACTAGCTAGCATATATCTTTAAAAGTAGAAAACTATTTTTGGACAATACAGTAAAAATGGGCTAGCAATCGCCAATTGAAGGTGATCACCATACGCTCACGCTGAAGACCCACGTCTCGATTCCCCAAATGGGCACAATGTGTGAAGCCCATTTCTGGTGTCCCCGCCATGATATTGCTGGAATATTCCTAAAAGCGTCTTCAAACTAAACTCACTCACCACTCACCCCAGCGATGACACGAAAAGCATTATAAGTAGTGTAACTGATGTCATTTCAGGTATTACAACGAAGACTGTTCAAACTGTTTCTCGATTTCCAGTGATCCATTCCTATAATTGTCACCGCTATTTCACCTTTAGCACCAAATGGAATTTCTCCTCGGTTAATCGACACCAATTATTCTCTAGCGTTGATGTGGTGTTTTACTATGATGAGATGGACATTACCTCAAGCTCCCGCTAAAGATGCACGCCAGGAATATACCAGGAAGTACCCGCGTGTTTACAAATATGTCCATAGCAAACAGCGGAAGGAGCTGCAACAGTGTTACATCATTCATAGAGCATTGGACAAATACAGGCCTGTGTGGATTGTGCGAATGTAAAATCTTAAACCGTAAGGCATGAACTATCTTAGTACAAGTTCTAAACTACAAGTGAGTGAGTGAGTGAGTTTAGTTTTACGCCGCACTCAGCAATATTCCAGCTATATGGCGGCGGTCTGGAAATAATCGAGTCTGGACCAGGCAACCCAGTGATCAAAGGCATGAGCATCGATCTACTCAATTGGGATACGTTGACATGTGCCAACCAAGTCAGGGAGTCTGACCACCCGATCCCATGGGACAATGGATACATGTCAACATACTTGCATTGACACAGTTTAACCCAAAACTTGCACTTTATATAATAAAATAAACCCTTGGCATCTTATAAAATCTCTCAGGGTTTTGTAGGAAATATCAAGGAATGCTTAGGAAAGAAAATGGGATATATAATATGAAATATATCAAAGCCTTTCCGTAAAACTTTTTGTTTGACATTTAATTTGTCACATGTTATAAGAATATGTAGTCGGATTCTATACAAAGAGCAAACTAATGAAACATCGTAATGCAACACCCGGTGTCAATGGTTTATCTGTCCTCAGTGTCAAGTTATGGGGCAGTGTATATTGTGTAACTTGATGATTGTTTGTGACAGCCATCAAACAGTCACAGAATGTCGCTCGTTGTTTCCTGGCTGGCTTGTTATTTAGTGGCATGCCCTTGGACGGAGTCATAATTATATCCCTGGGTTGGTGTACTGGGACAGTTACCGTTTCACACCAAGTACTGATTTTGATTGTTGAAGATGTTTCTTGACATAGCAGTGTCTTGAAGGCTGGCTGTGTCTGTATAAGTGCGCGACAATGGCGACTGGACGCAGTATACGACATGCTATCATATTTGATCATGTTGGAGAAGATACATATCTCAGAACCTCCACTTTTCGGCCTCGTTCTGACAGTGTTTCCTGGATTCATTCAAGAACTCGGCTGTAACCAATTTCTGGGCAGTTGTGAGTGCGTTGATTGATGTAATTGAGTCTGTAATGTATTGCCACTGCTACAAGAGTTACCCATTATTTTGCGTTATACAATTGTTATTACTAAAATCCCGTGTCCATTTGAATGCTGTTTGTTAATAAATCATTCATTACTCTTTGTCGGGAAAGTTTCTGATTTCACAGTTTAGTAATGTCTTTAACATTAGCGCTGTATATGTAACAGGTGTAAAACTTGTTTGACGTCAGAGACTTACAACATATAACAGAACGATCATTTTCTGCTTAGGTCTCTACCACATTGAAGACCAAGATTAAAGCCGCCATTGTCTATGTGAAGCCAGGAATACACATCAACGTAGAACTAAACTACATATGTATTTAACTGGCATTTGAATCTGGAACCGAACGGGCGTTAAATGTACCGCAATTTTGCCGCTAAAACGAAATATATCTTTAAAACTTGACAGTTTGATCGGGCTCGCAGTCGTCTTTGGTATACAGTAAGGTAACTCTAATTATTTGGCTCCTTTAGCATAATACTTCGTATTGTGCAAGAGCTAAAATACATAAAGCCATCACAGCTCTAAAACTACACCTATACTTCTGTTGTAATAAAAGATAGTTTGGTCAGTAGTAGCTCTCCATCTGAAAGGTAAAATTATACCTTTTAGGATATTATACCATACTTATATTCCATACTACTTTTCCGTCAACAGAGCTCACCTCATCTGAACTTGTGGATGAGGTTCCTGGAATCTGAGGGGGTCACAGTCCCTGTAGAAGGCATGGATGAGCAGCCCTGTCACCGTGCTGACAAGGTCAGTTGAATTAACACCAGGCCTATTGAGCTCAGCCACAGCGCCCTGTCAGTGTACAACATGCTGGGTTATGTTCGTAATAACAGTTTAGTCAGTGTACAACATGCTGGGTTATGTTCCGGTAATAACAGTTTAGTCCAGTGTACAGCATGCTGGGTTATGTTCGTAATAACAGTTTGAGTCAGTGTACAACATGCTGGGTTATGTTCGTAATAACAGTTTAGTCAGTGTACAACATGCTGGGTTATGTTCGTAATAACAGTTTAGTCAGTGTACAACATGCTGGGTTATGTTCGTAATAACAGTTTAGTCAGTGTACAACATGCTGGGTTATGTTCTGTAATAACAGTTTAGTCAGTGTACAACATGCTGGGTTATGTTCGTAATAACAGTTTAGTCAGTGTACAACATGCTGGGCTATGTTCGTAATAACAGTTTAGTCAGTGTACAACATGCTGGGTTATAGTCGTAATAACAGTTTAGTCAGTGTACAACATGCTGGGTTATGTTCGTAATAACAGTTTAGTCCAGTGTACAACATGCTGGGTTATGTTCGTAATAACAGTTTAGTCAGTGTACAACATGCTGGGTTATGTTCGTAATAACAGTTTAGTCAGTGTACAACATGCTGGGTTATGTTCGTAATAACAGTTTGTAGTCAGTGTACAACATGCTGGGTTATGTTCGTAATAACAGTTTAGTCAGTGTACAACATGCTGGGTTATGTTCGTAATAACAGTTTAGTCAGTGTACAACATGCTGGGCTATGTTCGTAATAACAGTTTAGTCAGGTGTACAACATGCTGGGTTATAGTCGTAATAACAGTTTAGTCAGTGAAGGCTAGGTTGGCCCCCAGTGACATTCAAGCTAGATCAACGTAGTCAATAATGGAGACCGGACAGGCTTTGAAACTGACACAACAGGTAATCAATAACCGTGTCTGACCATATAAGACGAGTATATGGATGGCAACTTCTTTATTGTATAACACGGAGTTTCTAACATTGGGTTTGCGCCCTTCTTCAGGTGATCAAGACAGGTGTAGTAAACATATTATATATACCAGATTTACAGGAAGCCATAGATGTACATATACATCTCTGTATGTTCTCCACACCTGTCTTTGTCACCTGAAGAAGGGGCAAAAAGCAGCCTCTCAAGAATCCGGTGTCTGACCACTCCATCTCTTATGACGTACCCAAGAATAGGGGTCATTAAGTCCAGACAGGGCTCCCCATGGCGTCAAAAACTGATAAGTTAATAGATATTGGGATTGTCTGAAGCTATACACTTCATGTCACCGTGACCTGCTCACAGACCAGACAGCCATGTGGTTGATAGTATGAGCAGTAATAATGGACACAGTCACCGATGCGAAAAAACACGCAGCAGTTAACACATGGCACACTGGCACTACTCCTTCCTACGAGACAGGAGAGTATTAACCGTCTTTTGTTCTTGTATAATATTATCTATGCTTACAGGAACATATTGATTGTGATACTCACGTTTTCGCCTTCCTGAGGGTGGGACAGGCCAGTAGTCTTTGAACCTGACTTTGATTGACACCTAGCTGGGACATCCACATGATCCCCCCACCAACAACAACAGACCACACCGAGTGACGCGCTCCTGGGCTGGGGTCAAAACTGGGGTTGTAAGAAAAATCTTTTTAATTGTATGTCTTCATCAGTGATATCAATTAAAGATTAATAATATTCTGTTGTGGTCAGAACGTACTCTTCATGGTACACATTATGTCTCATCAAGTAAATCGTAACAGAAATTATTACGATATATTATGCTTTCCGCTAAATTCCATTCTGCTTTTATCAAGACGAGTGTATATAGCGCCTGGCATTGCATTATTCTTTTAAGCTGAATTGTGCACCATCCATGGGTAAGTGGAATTCTAGTTTTGTCATTTCACTGGTAATGCGATTTTACCAGCGCTGTTTAATGTGAATTGTTTGGTGTACGTAGAAGCATTTTCAGAATATATCTATATAACGATACTGGGCATATTCAACGACTCATTGAATTCCAGCATGTATACAGTATACACGAATGCACATGTACTGAAACGATATTTCCGCATTTGGAAAACAAAGAGAGTCGTTTTCAACATATTACACTCCTTGTCGAGGTCTTTGTCTATTCAAGAGGCCGCACCACGGTACTCGTCATATCTTCGTGGGCTCTACAACAGGAGTCTACTCACTCTCTAAGAACCGTAGGCGACTTCTGTCGCCAGCAATTTTCCATGCATTCGAAAAACTCCCCAACAGCCTTGGATCCCTGAACTAGCAGAGATACCAGTCCAACAATGATGATGACTGTCTGTAGACAGTCAGTCCATATCACGGTCTTCATGCTGCCCTAGAAATACAAGCCACAAAACGCTGACCATATTCACAGCTAGTATCTGCTCAAACATAGTCCATTGTACGATTACCAGTAGATTATGAGCATGTGGTTTTGAAACACTATCAAATAGTGAGATGTTTGCAAGGTGTGAGCCAATGTGCATATTTACCACAAATTAAGTACATCATCCAATATTCTATGGGGAAGGCAGGATTTGATATATTTTCAATTTGTAAGAATACATTATTTCAATTGGCAGCAGGGGATTCGACAAAGCATGGTTCCAAGCTTATTTCAGTGAGTCCAGTATGAATAAGACACTTATTTCATGTGAAATCGTTTTCCATTCATGAGCCTTTTTCAATAACGGCATATGTTTGTCGTACATACACTATGTTCGGTCAAGCCAGTGGCTATGTGGGTCAGCGATGTATCTGCTTTTTTCAAACCAATATATTATGCCGAGACCCAGTTCTTGCGTGAGAAAACAACAAATGGTAAAAGGTCAGATTACATAGACAAGATGTCTCGTGCAACACATACTACACTGCATCCTATATCATGTGAACTCCACGCAGCTTATTATCTAACTAAGTAGTTTTCTTCCTGGGCTCGCGAATGAGAGAAACGTGCATCAGAGACCGTGAAGCTTTGACCATTTCACGACGTGAAGTTGGGTTTTTCAAACCCATTGAAATGAATGGTCCCAATGAAAATTACCTTGACCACGTTCAGTACGTCTTGTCATAAATATATGTACAAACACAACGACGTATTGTACCCATATACATACCAGGGCAGTGTAGATGGTCACGATGACCCCTACGGTTGAGATGGACAGCCAGAGGTTAAACCCAGTCACTGAAACACGTGAAATAAAACATTCTCTGGAGTACGAATTTACAAAACACAGTGAGAAATACAAACGCAATAAACCAGAGTTGTAAACCCACAATTAACATCAAAGGTGAAAACAATAATGACTAATTTTATAGACGTAAAACCTGAACGCCACAGAAAACCAATATCGAATATCTACCGAAACAGGTTCCATTGGGACGTGAAAGCGTAGTGGTGGAAATAATACGCAGAGATCAAATCGGTGTTGACACTAGGTGTTCACTAAAAGAAGTATCAGCACCCGCCTCTTACACAATTTGCATAAAAATATATTTTACATAGGCAATGTTCCTGCCAAACGGCAAACATTTCACGCAGGACCTCTCCTTCGCTTGACCCCACCCTTAGAAAGAACCTAATGACCGACGTATAATCCTTGTTTAACTATTCAAGCCTTGACATGGAGATGTTTTACACTGGACATGACGTATCTCTGTATGTGCCCGAGCTGTTTCTCTGGGGTATAAAGGATACCTACATGACAAGATTGCCCTGTAATATCCCTTCACCATGCTGTTTCTGACGTTACAGTGGCATACTTGCTCATATCCTCACACCCGTCACATAAGTATTCAAGCAATATAACCACTGCACGCATAACGTCTGCTGAAAAACAGGCATGGTTGGAAATGGCCAACATATATTAAAAATGACCTTCAATGGAAGTCGTGAAAGGCAGCTTTCTTCTGATTCCAGATTCTATTTGACTGGCACTTTCATCGATCGTTCTCTTGACCTGTTTACTTTTAAGGGAGAGTACTAAAAAGTCTGACAATCCTGATAATTTGAAAGAATCCATTTACAAGAAACTACATTATGACAAGACGCCCCAAGTAAGAAATTCCAATCATGGCGATAAGTGTAAGTGTTTTTGTCAATCCCTGGCCAAATATTACTGCTAGGTACCATGAGCCATGTGTTATTGATAAGAAAGTCAGTGATACTTACTATGTTGTACTAACACCAGGCCATCAGAAAAGGACATAACTCTGTCATGTCAATATGATTAGAATGTGTCATGAAAGGATTGATATTAGACTGACTGACTGAGTTTGGTTTTTACTCCGCTTTTTAGCAATATTCCAGCAACATCACGGCGGGGACACCAGAAATGGGCTTCACACATTGTACCCTTGTGGGATTCGAACCCGGTCTTCGGCGTGACGAGCCAACGCTTTAACCACTAGGCTACCCACCGCCCCATTGATATTAGATATTGTATCAGATTCTGATACTTTTATGACAAATGTAACTTTGCAAAGTGTGGTGGCATTGCTGACTATACTGGCCATAAGCTATAGAATTGAGACAAATAGCTAGCTTGTTAAACTAGGTCCTTTGCAATTCCTTCCCGATGCACCTGGCAGTACAGAGTTACTGTTTCATGATGTAGATGTAGTTGATGATGTGCCTGTGACACTACATCCCTACCGGATGAATCCAATCATCTTGAGCCAAGTCAAAGTAGATATGAGTTCATATTGAGAGCGACGTTATAGATCCTGTACCGACATGGAACGTGTGAACGCTCTTCCTAAAACAGACTCTTACCCAATACCAAGAATCAATTACTGCATCGACAGAATCGGTTTGACACAATTAAAGGGTATTGGCAGATTTCAAGGAAGCCTTGTTAAAGCACTCGGGTCCATATTACAATATACTATAGGTAATTAAAGGAATCGTTGCAAAACCATCGTGAGAGAGCAAAACATTGTTTTCTAAGGGTTGAATACACCTATGTACTCAGCTTTAATGTTTTCAATCAGTGCGTAATTGTTTCACCCTCACCATGTAATGGCTTCCCACAGACCCGACATCACAGACAATTATGTCAGTCTTGGATAGACTATGACATTAATTGGGCAGACCAAGACTAGATTCCAATACTTATAACTGAGGGATTGTAATACTGCTTGACTTCACGGATAGTTGTGCTGAGTGTGGCACTGGCAAGGGGAAAGACCTTACGTTCAAATGTTGCCTAAAATGACTGCTGTGAACGGGGCTCAGTCATGACTGGGATAGCATAATTAGGGACTGGAGGAATCAAAGGTGACAAGTGTGCACAGGGATGACATTCTTGATGAGCCGTGAAACCGTTCGCTTGTTCATCCGCATTGACGATAACGCTCGACCTTAATTACCTACCGAAGTAGCAGGTTAGTTCGTTGACCAGAACTCATAATCTATCGAAGACGTGTCGGACAAGTAGCCGATCGATTTCTCGAAGATCTAGAGGTAGAGTAAGATCTCGACAATATGCTGAATAGTGAAGCAGTCTTCCTTTGGCAGCCACCCACATGCTTACTGGGTACATAAGACGATAGCACCAGGCTGTGATCACGCCCATGGATCTGGCCACATGGATCACATGTGCTACTGAAAACTGACATTTTGGTGAATGAACATGTCTTTGTTTTATTTTATTTTTGGTTATTTTTGGTTATTCTTTCTTGTTTCAGCTGTAAACTCTCTATTAGAGAGTAGCATGACGTGTTTGCTTATTTGTCACGTGTTGCGTGTTGTAAGGCACATGACAAGGGACTTTTTAAACGTCTTCCCGCTTTATTGTCTTGGTATATTTCAACAGATGCACACGTTTTGACGAATTACCTTTTTGGTGTGATGACACTTGGCAATAATTATTGTTTACAAAAAATGAGATATATGCGCGGCAGGGTTTATGTTATGTCATTTCAAATTTACATCTCCTAACTGACTGTTGATAACATGAACTCACCTGAATAGAGCGCCAGTGAGGGGGCATACAGTACGAAAGCCATGTAGAGCAGCTGTGAATATAATGAATAAATCATGAAACTTACATACATTATCATTGTGATGATGGGTTTCAGATATGTAACTTTTGTATTCAGAAGACTAGGACAGTATAGATTTTGTTTGCTTCTTGTTTAACGGGGGCGGTGGGGTAGCCTAGTGGTTAAAGCGTTGGCTCGTCACGCCGAAGACCCGGGTTGGATTCCCCACATGGGCACAATGTGTTAAGCCCATTTCTGGTGTCCCCCGCCGTGATATTGCTGGAATATTGCTAAAAGCGGCGTAAAACCAAACTCAGTCAGTCAGTCTTGTTTAACGCTTCAGTCGCCAGTATTTCAGCTCTATGATAGGGGTGTGTATAGAGTCTAGTCTGGACCATAGCATACATTGAATGACATCCGGAACATTGATCCACACAATTGTTAGTGAGTGAACGAGTATGGTTTTACGCCGCAGCAATATTCGAGCAATATCACGGTGGGGGACATCAGGAATGGGCTTCACACATCGTAACCACGTGGGGAATCGAACCCGGGTCTTCAGCGTGACGAGCGGATGTTAATTAAACCGCTGCCACACCTTGATCAACGTAAATGGTAGCCACAACCGAAAATTATACTGTACATTGAGTTGTTATACCACACTTTACTGAGGGCATGCTGTCACCAGACATGGGCTTTGGTAGGACGCTGGCTTACCTTTGCCATTAATCATGCTCCCTTTCAACGGAGCCTTTATGTCTCGGAATTTGCGATAGGCAAAGTCAAAGAAGGTAATTCATCCAAGACGTTTATCTTTAGGTCAGTCAATGATCACAATGAATTTTCATTGACTTACCATCTTCAGCTGGAAATTTTTTGGATACCAGTGAGTCCGCCTCATCTCCGTCATTTTAAGATCCATGCATAAAGACACAAAGTGAGAGACAAAACACTCTCCAGAAGACGCGTTAACTTCATATCAACTTTCCCATAGTGAACAGTCCGTTTATGTTCTAGCAGTTCCAAGCTTTGGAGTTTTCATTTCGCAAATTTTTATGTACAATTGAGAATGCTTTATCTTTTTCAAAGAGTGTCACATGACTTGATCAAGGCGACAACATTTAATACTTCAGTAAAACGTTAAAAGTTCCGAATTTGATGCATTCGTGGCAAACATTATATCCGAAGCAATTCCTTAGTTTGGCTTGCACCACACGTTTCCGTATTTCAGGTGAACAATTGACCTGCCTTTGAAAGTGTTTGTGATGGGTGCCACCTGTAGGAAGGATACGCTCATCTTTTTGCGAACACCTTGGAATCACTGATAGCAGATCCTTAAACACATCCTCATGATATGGTCCTAATTGTACAATCAATTATGTTGCTCTCTATTAAACATTTGCAAGATGAATTACCACTTCATAACATAAATTTTATGGCACACCATGTCACAACTTACCACTTGCAGAATCCAGTTAAGAGACGCCAATATCCGTACTCGCTTCCCAAATCTCAGTTCAAAGTACTGTTACAAAATAAGAGTGAGTGATTTAAAATTTATAGTCACATCTGCAATATTTCAGCCATATTGTGTCTTAAAAAGTTATAAATTAACAATTAACGCAATTACATTATAAAACACCTTTCGACGAAGGACAGTCAAACAACTAGATTATCACAGGAATATATTTAAGACTAGTAATTAAATCTAAAATATTTTACCTATAAATGACAATACAATATAAAACCGGCTATAGATTACCAACAACTGAAGGTAGATCACCATACTAGGGACCATGGGGACTTACAGTACATTTGCTTCCTGCATGGGCCCTAGTTGGATTTACATCATCCCTTCAGCTGTCAGCGAATTAAAGATACATCTAGCCATACATTAAAATTACACATATTCTACGATTAAAAAAGAAGGGTTTAAATTTACCTTGAATGTTTTGGGACTTACGTACCCTATCAGGAGGACAATAATTTTACAGTACTTTAACCCCCCTCGAGGATAGAGCCACTAACAATCTTAGTTACTAATCATAAAATATTTATGTATTTAGAAATCATTTAACAAATCTAATTCTTTTAAAAATGCAAAAATTAAATGAGAACTGATACTATTAAAAATATCCTTCATAGTTTGTGATTTAAAATAGTTATCCCTTGTGATGGAATATTCAACACAGTCAAGCAAAACATGCTTGACCGTGATTCTTTCATCACAAGGGATGTAAAACGGAGGATCCCCACCTTTCAATAGGTATGCATGAGTATATCTTGTGTGGCCAATACGACATCGTCGCATGGTGACCTCTTCAAATCTGGACTGACAACCCAAGTAGGTGTAACCGATATAGGGTTTTATAGCATGCAATTTATTCATACCTACTTGGGTGTCCGACTTCTTCTGCATCAGATCACGGATGTAGGTTCTAATGCTAGCTTTGTAATCAGAGGATGGAATAAGAAGCGGTGTCACAGATTTGTTGAGTGCTACCTTAGCAGCAAGATCAGCCATTGTGTTCCCAGAAATGCCAACGTGGCTGGGTAACCAACAAAAGTCGATGTTGCATTGAAATGGAATATATGTACGTTATATGTACGTTATCGACGAAGGACAGTAAAACAACTAGAATATCACAATTACAACTAAAACTAGTGTGGAGAGTTAAAACTGATAGCACTATTTGGACAATACAATATAAAACCAGGCTATAGATCGCCAACACCAGAAGGTAGATCACCATACCAGGGACCATGGGGACTTACAGTACCTTTGCTACCTGCATAGACCCTAGTTGGATTTACACCATCCCTTCAGCTGCTGGCGATTGTAAGAAATGCTAGCCAAAATTAAAATGACAAGAATGCTACGTTTAAAAATCCTGGCAAGTTTAAACAGACTTTGAAAATTTGGGGACTTACGTACCCTCTCAGGAGGACAATAATTTTACAATACTTCAACCCCCCTTGAGGATACAGCCACTAACAATCTAAGGTATTAATTGAAATTTCCAATCATAAAATATTTATCTATTTACAAATTAGTTAATTAGTCTAATTCTTTACAAAAGGCAATAATTAAATGAGAACTGACATTATTAAAAAGATCCTTCATAGTTCGTGCTTTAATATATAGTTATCCCTTGTGATGGAATATACAATGCAGTCAAGCAAGAAATGCTTGACCGTGATTCTCTCATCACAAGGGATACAAAACGGAGGATCCTCACCTTTAAGTATTCATGTGTATATCTTCTGTGGCCAATACGACATAGTCGTATGATGACCTCTTCAAATCTGGACTGACAACCCAAGTAGGTGTAACCAATGTAAGGTTTTATTTCATGTAATATATTAATACCCACTTGGGTGTCCCACTTCTTCTGCATCAGATCACGGATGTAATTTCTAATGCTAGCTTTGTAATCAGAGGATGGAATAAGAAGCGGTGTCACAGATTTGTTGAGTGCTGCCTTGGCAGCAAGATCAGCCATTGTATTCCCAGAAATGCCAACGTGGCTGGATAACCAACAAAGACGATGTTGCATTGGCCAGTAGCAAGTTCATTGTACAATTCAATAATTTATTAATATATTTAAGAGCTGTTAAGATGGCGTTAGCTTCTGCTGTGAAAATAGAGCTGTTATTTGGTAATCGAGAAGATATTGTTCTGGATCCAATGACAGTGGCACATGCCACCGCACCACAATCCTTGGACCCATCTGTAAATAAGGATTTATATGTATAATATCTAGTTTTTAGGTGATTATATTATTGTTTCTATTGTAATTCATTAGTTTCAGATTTCTTAAACTTTGTCAGAGTTGGGTCAACTTCAGTCCTCACCAGTTGCCAAGGAGGAGAAGAAAGAAGACGGGAAGGAGCTATATTTTCCAGCTGAATGCCGGCAGCAGAAATGAATAGCTTAATTCTGTGCCCAAGAGGCGGAACAAGAGAATTTGGCCTCCTTTACAACTTTAATGGGAGTGCCATTTAAAGATAAGTCAGGGTCCTTATGAGGCTTATATTTTCTACAAAAAATGTATACAATTAGTTTTGGATTTAGAAAATTTAAAACCGTTTTCAAGACACCATTTATTTATTTTGTTTAAACATAACTGCAGTTGCCGTTCAATAGTATTCATATTTTTACCACGACAAGAAATATTGAAATCATCCACAAATAATCATCCATTAATTAAATCTTTTAAAACCTTTGATAAACTATTGATCTTGATGCTAAACAGTGTGACAGACAAAATACTGCCTTGTGGGACACCCTGATCCTGACTGTAATGATCAGACAGGGTTGAACCCACTCGGACTTGAAATTGCCTGTCTTTTAAATACTGTGATATAAAAAAGAGGCAAACGGCCTCTCAAACCCAAATCATGTAAATTCTTCAAAATTCCAGGTCGTGTCATAAGCTTTCTCAAGATCAAAGAAAATTGACATAGCATGTTGTTTATTTACTATAGCATTTTTAACAAAGGATTCTAAACGTACCAAATGATCAATGGTACTACGATTTTTCCTGAAACCACATTGAGTATTTGTTATAAGGTTTTTGGTTTCAAGATACCATGTTAATCTATTATTCAACATACGTTTCATGGTTTTGCAGACACAACTCATTAAAGTGATTGGTCTTTTAATTAGATGGATCAGTATGATCCCGCCCATGTTTGGGAATTGGGACTACCATGGCATTATGCCACGAAGGTGGAAAATTCCCTGAAGTCCATATACATGTATGATCAAATTATTATCAGAAATGAATTCCTCAAGGATTTTACCTTCCCCAAAGCGAGTTGTGTCCGTTAAAATCGCCCATGATGAGACATGGTTTCGGAGTTGATTCTCTAGTGGTACGCTCTACCACATGATGAGTTGGGAGTGATCTCCCTTGTTTGTGATTTTGAAGGTTGTTGATTAAACGTCGTGTCTTTGGAAGTCAACGTGTCTTGTTGTGGTCCGAAACCTCAAACCCGTGCACGTAACAGGGCTGTGAATGACACTATGGTGTACCAAAATAGAGGCGCCTCCAGTAGCTTTATCGCCTGGAGGGGAGAAGGAATCAGTATTTTTAAGGTATGTCTCTTGAAGACATAATACTGACGGTTGAAGATCTTGAATGAGTAATTGTATTTCATTACAGTTTCTATGCAGTCCACTGCAATTCCACTGAATTATATTGGCCAATTGAGTCATGGTGGCGGCTCAATTGCCGATCGTTCACGTGAATGCCTGTCCTGCGGAAACAGAGTGAACTCCATATCTAGGGGTCCAAAAGAATTTAGTTGAGGAACCTCTGAAGGTGAAGACTAAAAAGGTGTTAGATTTCTGTTTAATTTTTTTCCAATCTTTCTTTTTGATGGCTCGGTGATTGGCTGTGAAGTGGCTCCTTGCAAAGCTGTCGTTTGCAAAGTCTGAGGTTGAATTTCCGTCTGTGACCCAGACGTCGACATAGTTACTGGACCAGTAGTTTTTTTTGTAGAGAAGTAGGTTGTCTTGATGAAAAGACCCGAGGACAGCTGAGGACATTGCCACAGAGCGGGTAACTGCAGCAAAATACAAGATATTTAGTTTTTTAGCTTCAAGATAGGAAATATTTTATTCACACTTTATCTTCATGATCTTTGATTCCCTTTGGTAGACGGGGCATGACCTAGATGATGCAGTGTGAGGCCCGTTACAGTTAACACACCTGGGTTTATTCTCACAGTCTGTGCCGTCATGGTGATCCCAACAGCGATAACACACTGCAGAATTACGGCATGAGTTGGAACCATGACCAAATGTTGGCATTTGTAACACCGGAGTGGATTGGGGACATACACATCCACTCCGATGTTAAAATAACCTGCTTTGGTTGACTGTGGCAAAGTTGATCTGGCAAATGTCAGGAGATAAGTGTTTGTTTTAGTTATGATGCCATCCTTCATTCTGGTGAAACGTTTAACTGCTGTAACAGCTTGGTCTTCAAGCTCTGTAGCTATTTCCTCTTCGGTCATGTCATATAGACAACGTGCCCTGTCACGTATGATGCCACGGCAGGAATTAAGCGTTCTATGCACGGACACAACAACCTCTATATTGGCAAAGGTTTTGACAGACATAAGATTTAGAGATTGTTGTCTCCGTGCACACTCCACTAGAAGTGAACCACTACGGAGACGGGTGACATTTTTAACTTCACCACATATCCCATGGATAGCCTTCGACACAGCAAATGGATTCAGTTTAATGGGTAAAAAGTCTGAAGCCTCAATCACTTAAAACCGAGCCCAGGATTCAACATTTGAAGAATTAATGTCAGTTGGATGATCAAGTTCATCCGGGCGTCTCTTTTTCTCATTTCGAGAGGAACCAGCTTGTTGGTGAGTCATGATAAAAGGAAAAATATTCGGCACCCCTGCTCCCCACCCACCACGGAGTGTCAACAGGGACGGTGTCAAGATGCATCGGTTATCCAAGATGCTGACACCGGGGATACAAGGGTGTTATACTCCAGAGAATATGACATGAATAGCTGCATTTATCCATCAATTTAATGTCAGACTGGTTTGGCCTTAGACATGAAATTGGAGACATACATTATTCAGAGGTCAACATCACCAGATTGGCCCATGAGCCATTGCCTTCTGGCATAGGACTCTAGGCAATTTAATATGATAATAATTTGAACATTGATGATAAAAAGACAAAGCCCAAAACTAAGTAAAATGTGCCAAAAATATTTACTATGCACAGGGCTTGGCGTGACCAGCCGATTGATAGAACCGGGCCAGTTCTACCAACCGTCTAGGGGCGAAGTGGTGTGTTGGGCAAAGGAACGCTATTGCTGGAACCAGTGCCCTCAACCACCAGACTACCGTCCTCCATCGACACAGGGGCGCAACCCACGGCAAACAGGTTGGTGGACCAAATATAGCCCCGGGTCCACACGGGGGGTTGAAGAGCTCTAAGCGGTACCCAGCACCCACCACGAAGAGGTGGCTCTTCACGGGTGCCTACAAAATAATAGAGCACACTTAATATCTATATACGTTACGACAGACTTCGAATGGTTTCACCAACGTTTGCAGTTATATAATATTATTGTAGGAAACACACTGGCAGATATTCTAAAATAACATCGAAAACAAAATATTGGACATCAGTTAAACTATTACCGCAAATATATCGAGGGTTCAGGAACTAGAAAACTAGGTACATAAATAAATTGGACATGACATTTTTCCAAGAAAGGCATAAAAAGCATAAAGTAAAATGTGTGAAAGAATTGATAGCTGCATCCATTTACCACCACATCCCACCATAAGAATCCATATCAACCCCACTGCACCATAAGAATCCATACCCACCCCACTACACCGTAAGAATCCATATCCAACCCACTACACCGTAAGAATCCATATATTTCTACTTTTATCAACGAGTTTTGATATATTTGATATCAGAAGACACGAGGGTGAGATTCTATTTATCATAAAAAAATCACTCTTCTTTAGTTTTCAATGAAAAATGTTCATCTCTGAACACAGTACTTGCAGTGCAGCGATGTCAAAGCATTGTGACGTCATCAAGTTCCTAGGAGATATCGTTTGATCTCACACAAGCAATATCTCCTGTGGAACAGTTTTGGATGATATAGAGAAATGGTGGTGCGTTCATAAGATGTGTGCCTTTGAAAAGTTAGTTAACGCTTATACTTCCTATCCAAATTGAAAGTTCAGGTTCCCCTACTATTTATTAAGAGTATCTTTTTCTTTTAGAAAAGCAAGAATCATGCAGGGACTGATATTCAGAATAAGGTCATTTCATGTCTTGGTGACCCCCAGACCCTCCACCCGCAATACATGTAATATTTTACAAGCATCTTTCCCCGCAAAATTAAATCACCAGTCCCTAAATGATGGTGTTTTTTGACTTGAAAAAACAGAATTGTGTACTTTGTTTAATGACAACACTCCAAACCCACCACATCCAACCATCAACTTCTTTACATGTATATGATCTTTCCTACCTCATAAACACTTGTGACTCCGAGTCTGTACAGAATGGGTATAAACAGATGCGCCGCTCCTGCAACAGCTAAGATCATGCCTAGAGCAAGCAACCAGAACATTGTGTCATGGATGTAGACTTCGGCCGGCATCCCAAGCAACGTCAACGCCGATAGAAACGTCACCGTCACAGAGAGAGCAACAGGAACGGTGCCCATCTGACGGTTGCCCACCAGAAAGTCCGATGGGCTGTTTTTCTTCCTGTCTTTGAGAGCATGGTAGAGCCCGACACATGCTGGGATGAGGAGGGTACAGCCAAATACAAGGTAGTCTTCCCAGTGAAGAGTGTTCCTGTGGCCGCTGTTTATACTGTATCCCAACTCCATCGTTGTCTCCTGCAACTGCAAGTAGAAAAACATCTATGTAAATGCTTGCATTCTCATGTCAGATTTACGATCTTGAACCAGCTATTATGCTTTATTGCTTATAATTAATGTTGCGTCTCGTATGTTCATAATTAAAAAGTACAGTTAGATTCAGCAGCTGTATATATGGATACATTCACACACATATATATGTATATGATAGATAGTTAAATATGGTATTCTCCGTGCGTTTGGAATAATCCATATAAATCTACCTGAATTATTGACGAAGCGGGAAGCGGGTTTCTATATGTTACAGTCAATGTGATACATCAGTCAATTTACAAATTGCCTGATGTTACACGTTGACTGAAACATATACACCTGGAAAAAGGTTAAGCACCCCCGGCAATTTTTACAATTTTCAGCTAATAACAGTGGTGTGCACGCACAATACGTTGGTAAAGGTGCATTAGTTCTGTAAGATCAGGTCTAGGCTAAAAGAAAAAAAACAAAAGCATAGTTTCCTTCAACCTTTTAATAATTGATATGACACAAGACAGAAACCATCTGTTTTGGATAAAAATGGATACATGTTACAAGTATGTTGCTAGAGAGAGGGTCTGCCAACATAGCGTCTAAGTCATGAGATAAAACGGCTTTTTATGGTAACACTGACTGACTGAGTTTGGTTTTACGCCGCTTTTAGCAATATTCCAGCAACATCACGGCGGAGGACACCAGAAATGGGCTTCACACATTGTGCCCATGTGGGGATTCGAACCCGGGTCTTCGGCGTGACGAGCCAACGCTTTAACCATTAGGCTACCCCACCGCCCCCTTTTATGGTAACATGTGAACGTTGTACAATCAATTTCTAGTGTACCCAACGAATGCTTGAATAACTGCCTGTGCCTTAACCCCCTGGATGCCATTTGGACATATATGTCCCTACACAAATCGCAGTTGCTGTGCCAGAGGCACTTATATGCCCTTTTGTAACAACATAGTAAAAGAATTGAAATCATTAGAAAAAAAGACAACCCCAAGTCCAACACAATGCAACATTTGAAAGTATAGTAAATTTCCAACAAGTGTGCGTTAGTTTTGTAACACTACCATAAATATAAATTGTATATGGAGGTAGTCAAAATCACCTTATCTTCACTAACGATCAAACTTGACGCCATTGGAATATTTTTGGATTTGGAGCCCATTGCACCATCTGATTGAAAAAAACATTGTAATTCACAGTTAAAAATCTGATAGAAATTATTGCTTAAAAGTTGGAAAAGGATCAAATTTCTACAGTTCAATGTAAGAATAAGCTTCTGGAACCAACTAATACCTTGTATATCGATGGTGTAATGTGCGTAATTTTTCTCCTCAATGTTTTTATGCAATGCATCGTTTTTCACTTCGCCCCGCTAACGCCGTCGGTTCCAAATGAATTCCCGTGCTTCAAATACTCAACAACACCCGGAAATTGGCCAACACATGATGTTGATCTCCTAAGAGTCCTATTTTTAATTTTCAAGAATATATGTGTATCTGTTTCTATCGACACTCTGTGATTTCCACCGCGCACCGCTTCCATATTGGCGAAGTGGGCGCGGTTAATTTGCGATTGTTCGCCGGAACAAAATACCGTGACACGCGACCTTTGACATGCCGCGTCACAGAGGTTACCGCTGCCCGAGTCAAAACAATAAAGTTCTACGTTTCAATCGCTAACGTTGATACGTAGATAAATGAAATGTAATTAAAGATACTAATGGCGCTACAATAGTTCATCCTTGTTTTTTGATTGAGAAATCAGTGCAAGGAATGCTCACGGAAATATATCAAACGGTTGCCTCCCGCAAGAGTATGAATATTCAAGAGTATGAATATTCATGAGTATAAAAATAGCCCCATATGACAGACGACAACATATCATCAGTGATCATGTCGGCAGTAGGAGAGGGTGATGATTACGATTTGGGGGAGTCGGACTTTGAGTCGGACATATCCGTCGATTCTCTCGATTCGACTCACAGTCTGACTCCCAATCAGAAGAAATGAGCGGTAAGTAAAATTATCTGTCATTTTCAAGTCCGATAGACTAAACAGAGTATCGTGTATGACTATTGTCAATGACTATGTACATGGCGGGAATATATGAATTATGACTCATTTGCAATTTTAGTACTTTTACACAGTGGGGTATAAACTACCTAACACAGAATAGCTGTCGACCACAGCCCAGAGGGTTTTAACAACTATGTGGTTATACCCTTTTTATAAGTTTTGTAAATATTTAAAATATTTGCTTCTGGTGAATTCAGACTCTCTGCTGAGCTAATTCTCCAGTATGACCATCACAACATCACATTAGAAAAATCATTAGAAACCACACTGGTACCATACAGTAGCATCATGATACATCTTTCAGATAATCTGCCAATATAATTTGTATATCTAAGGGAGGTAATACAGTACATAAAGAATTGCATTATCTCCTATTTAACAATAAGAAAATCCATCAGTCATCACTTGTTGAGCTTTAATTCTCACTATATGAAGCACTGAAAAATAAATGTTGCAGAAATAAGTATTCAGTAGAGTGACATTATTTTTCAAACGAGGAATGACTAAGGTGAGTAAAGAATGATAATAATTTTCCCAATGATATTAGGATATGTAATCTGAAAAATCAAAATGGTGTCACTTTATATATAGGGTGTATTACCTGCCCCATTAAGAAATACTTTGTGAATAATCTGGGAAATGCTTTGTATGAGCATGTTTAATATGATATGCCCATTAATATGTTTTCCTGTGTTACTTGTATGAAAACACTCTCTAAATGAAAATAAATCTTTCCTTTAATATTTAATTGTGAACACTGGTATTTATTACATTTTTTTGTACCCCACTGATGCAAAAGATTATCACAACTTTCAGATGAAGAAGATGGGGAAGAAAGAGGGTCCAAACCAATGGTTCGTGGCCCCTGGCTGCCTGTGCTGGACACAGAGCCATAAAGTCCCTTCTTCACTCACTCGTCGGGAACACGCAGGTGACTAGGAGGACTGGCAGACCAAGGACCCAGCCTCCTTCCCGACGACTGACCGGACGCCACTTCGTCGAAGTGCTGCCTGGAAGGAAGAGGAAACAGTGTGTCCTCTGTAGAAAGCGACAGAGGACCACAGATGGCTGGCTCTGCAGTGAAGGTCAGGACTTGGTGTCCTGACTGCACCGTTGGCCTCTGTGCCCGCTGTTTCCGCCAGTATCACACAGCCGCTCACATTGAAGAGTGAACGGCTGTATGTACTGGCATATTATCCCTTCAGGCAGTTTCCCCATTTGTGTGCTTCAGTCCACTGTAAATAACTTTTGTGAGAGTATGACTTACGCCGTATTTGCAATATTAGAGCAAAATCACAGCGAATTATTGTATATAAACTTATTGTCTGTAAATATTCCTAATATGATTGGATTGTGAGAGTATGAGTTAAGCCGTATTTGCAATGTTACAGCAAAATCACGGCGAATTATTGTATATAAACTAATTGCCTGTAAATATCCTAGTGTGATTTGATTGTGAGAGTATGACTTACATCGTATTTGCAATATTAAAGCAAAATCACAACGATTTATTGTATATAAACTTATTGCCTGTAAATATCCTAATGTGATTTGATTGTGAGAGTATGACTTACGCCGTATTTGCAATATTAAAGCAAAATCACGGCGAATTATTGTATATAAATTTATTGTCTGTAAATATCTTTAATATGATTTGATTGTGAGAGTATGGCTTACGCCGTATTTGCAATTCCGGGCCACCAACACCACAAATGATCGCCCCCGTACTGGCAGACGAAGGGTGACTACAAGACGACAAGACCGCCATGTTGTGCGACAGCATGTACAGAATCCCCATTCGTCACCACTCGCACCTTTCCGTAACCTCCAAGAAGACTCGTCCCCCCCTCTTTATGTGCGAAAATACGACAAACCAATCAGAACACACGTAAATGAGCGTGGTGCTTTGATAAAAATAATCCCTAATACTTAAATCGTTTATGGCATTATGTCATTGTTTAAAAAATCATGAAAAATATATATCGTCATATTGAAAGTACAAAGAACGTAGCTAAAAGGATTTGGCTGCCTATTATGAAGTTTTAATAAGAATCATGCGAGTGGCGGTGAGAGATTCAAATGCACGCACCTGCGTGTTGCGATAGTAGAAATATCACTTTAGTGCATCACTATGTTAGTGCATTACGCTCGATGCATCACGCATGCGCGAGTGCCTGTCCACGTGTTCCGGTCGCCAAAAAGCATGGCAGTAAACCCATGAAGTACCAACTCTATTGTGTCTTTTGTACTAGAAGAAACCCACGGAAACATGGTGTCAGAAGTGGGATGCGGATGTTACAGAGTAACAGGCACATGCTCGTTTACTTGACTATTCTCTATTTGTCTCAATATTCTTCAGGGGCACGCTCTCGCTCGCCGAACGTTCTTCACTTGTGACACGCCGCTAGTCTCAGAATCAGGTCCTGTCACTGTCAGTTGCAACATGTCTAACGAAGGTGAGCCAGGGGATCCTCCACCCGTTGTTCCTACTATACCCTTTCAAGGGAGTATCCCCGCTCCTCCTAGACTTGAAATGAAGGGGAATTTGGCTCATAACTGGAAATTATGGAAACAAGTGTGGGACTCTTTTGAAACAATGGCAAGAACTGATCAGAAGAACCATAAATATAGGTTAGCACCTTTCGTAACCTATATTGGCCCAGAAGCTCTAGAAGTTCTCAATGGTTTACCATTTGAGTCAGAAAATGGCAGGAAAGATGTGGATGTTGTTCTGACTCTCATGGAGAGACACTGTATGGGAGAGACTAATGTCATATATGAGAGATACACCTTTAATAACTGTATGCAACAAGAGGGTGAAAACATAGATTCATATGCTAACAAGCTGAGAACCATGGCATCCACATGTGACTTTCGTGATCTCCAGAATG